CATGCATACCAAAGATCATGTTTTCCTAAGGACTGCTCCTGATTCTGCAGTTGAATTTCTCCTGGAGACAATCTTGTGCATGAAGTGGTGTGAGCAGTGTGTGATGATGTGTGACTGGCAACTAGTATGATACCACTGATTTTTCATTTGGGACGTACTGGGGAAAAAACTCTTCTCCAGTAATGGGAAAGTGTTTTCCATCTGTCAGCCAAAAGCATTCATCTTATTTGCATGTTCTTTTTTGTTTGTTTGTTTTTAAGAATATGGAATTACAGGGTTCTGTAAATCCGCTTGTTCAAAAAATTGATTCAGATCTTAAGCAGACACATATTGCAGGCAGCTGTGAGGTTTCCTCAGAGCGTTGTCTGGCAGAGAGATCTCCGGCCTCTGCTCAGGGTTACCAACTCCTGTGGTGGTAGGCGGCGAGGGGTGGCGAAGCATCAGCTCTCCTCTTTCCAGCCGTGGCAGCAGATGTTGAGCATATCTGAGTCCTGCAGATCTGAGTGCTTTTTTCATGATATTGTTGAAATTGTTTTGCTCCACTTTTATGATTTAGGTATGCAGAATGAATTTTTTTAGCAGAGGGTTTTTTACTTTTTGATGGACTCTGAGACAGTGATGAACCTACTTGTCTGCTCTCCTCAAAGTACTTTAGAGACTGTAATTTTCCTCTAGCAGTATCTTAGATCAGCAATCCAGAGATTTCTTTCTTGTAGAATAGGTGGTACTTCCATATATATTTCCTTGCTACACCTTTTTACCTTCCTCTTCATTTCTTACTTCCACCTTCACAGATCCAGTCAGTTCAAATATGCATGCAGGTACTTGAGCTTGGTGTTGGTGGGTGTCCACTGAGTCCCAGGGATAACCCGAAGTCTTACAGGCCTTGATCTTCTCCTCCAGAGGCTGAGGAAGGAGTCACTGAGTTCAAGAACCTTGGATATTGCTTCTTCTAAGCCAGCCTCCTTCTGCATGCTGTTAAGCTAAAACTAATAACAGAAGGAAATGAGTTTTCTTCCCAAATGAGTAGGAGTTTTTAAAAATGGAGGTTTTAGTCTACTAAAACAAAAGAGGAGGGCTAGGTCTTGGAAGAAATGGGAGAAGGATCCCTGCAATGAATTCTGGCTACCCTTTAGTGAAGCTGAATCTCATTAGTGCATGGACAGGATGCACGTATTGCTTTAGTACATTCTTTTTTTTCTTGAGAAGTTTATATAAACCTAGTAATTATATGAGCTTTAGATATTCTATCTGAACAAAAACTGTGTCAATGCAATCTTATTTGTATTAAAAGATAAGACTTGTCTCTGTTGACTGTGAACAGAGGCTGAGACAGCTCTTGAAGTATTTTGAACGTGTTCTCTGTCTTTTCAAACACAACTTGAAAATTCAGTTGAAAGCCAGTGCAAAAAGCTGTCTGATACAAGAGGATACTGTGCTGTTTATTCTATTTTGTAGCTTTTCAGTACTGCACCTGAACAAGAGAATTGATGTTTATGTGGCTGCACTAGAACAACATTGTAGATGGAGGGCTTTGGGGGAAAAGAGAGTCAGGGCAGAGGACATATGTTATGACCTGAGTTGATAAACATAGAGAGATTAAATAATCAAAGAACACTGAGCAATGTGCAGTAATAGAAATAACTGCTACAATTACAAAACTTCCCAACATTACAAATGAAGAGGAAAATTCAGAATTAAATGTATTTGAAATGAGTTAAACTTCTTGAGAATAAAAAAAAGCAGACACAGAGAGCTTTCTGTGTACAACTGAGAATACGAGAGGCTATTTATGCCTAAGGAGCAATAAAGAGCTCCAACCCAAAGTTTTAACCAAAAGGTTTGTGAGAAAGGAAGATAATGAGGTGGTTGAAGAACAACTTGTTTTTACAAAAACCAGAGCATATAAAGAAGTATATGAAACATAACTCTTGAAAAATTGCAAACTCTTAACTAGAAGAGTTCATAATAACTATACTTTTCATCTCTATGAAGTGTATGAGGCATAAAGCAGTGAACAAACCACAACTACTTAGGCAAAGGCTAATACTTATGGTAGTAATATCTTGCCCTTACGCTGCTTTTAGATCATCACACTGTTGTTCTTCTTGAAAAATTTATTTGTAATACAGACTGCAAAATAAAAGTGTCCGCATCGTTTATTATAGTTGGGATGCTAGATAACGGATATCTGTCTCATCCAGGTGTGCACAAAATATACCTCTCAGGAAGGGAAAGGAGTGTGTAAACCAAGCTAGACCTAGAGCCCTCTCTGCTGGATGGCTGGGAAACAGCAGTTCTAACAGGAAAAAAATAAGAATTCTAATGTAAAAAAGAAAATCTGAAAGGCTAGTGCAAGAAATCTAGACGTAAACCATAAATCCTAGGTAGTTAACGTCTTCCCTAATTATAAGCAGATGAAATAGTATACACTTATTGCATAAAGTGACCTTTTCTTATTAAATTGTCAGGTGACAAATTTTATTGAGAATTCTTTTCTTATGAGTATATATGGGATCTGAGGGGGAAAAGAGGAATTAAAATTCCATCCTAGAAATTTTAAAAATTCATAATATCTGTGCCAAAGAGGAGTATTCGTGGAAAGGGTTTTCAAGCCATATATAGCATAGGGGTGTAGATGGGCTATGTGTTTTTGTAGTAATGCTCCAAAGAAATTAACTCTTACTGTAGGAACTGTAGTAATATGTGGAAAATAGGCTATTCCAAGATGAAGTACTTTTTTTAAAAAAGGCACTTGGCAAGATGTAACATGTGTCTGTTTTAAAATAGAATATGTTTTCCAGTACAAGGGGAAACTCTATCATAGTAATTAAAATCTGTATCTTATTCCTAAAGTAAAGGCAAACACAGGCTTTTAGAAATTTTTTTTTCATTTTTTTCAACTAATGGAAACAGGGGAAAGGAGAGATGCAGAGAATAGTTGGATTGCCACTTTATTTCCAGCACTGAAAGATCCACTAAAACTATGCAGCTCCCTGAAGTCCAGTCATTTGGAATTGATTCTGAAGTGTGTGTGAGCACACATGTAGCTTTTATCTGTGTTTTTTAAGCCAAAAAAAGTCTAATGGAGATAAGAGGGATCAACTTTGAATAAACTCAAGAGGAGTTTATTTATTATTCACAGTTGACTCTCCCTTCTTCCGTGGTCTTTCAAAATGTGATAGCAGCTGAAGACACTCACTTATGGTCACTGAAAGTTCATTAGCAAAAAAATTGCAGGCTTTGTGTACGGTTTTGGAAACCTTTGAAATCTTGTATGCATGGAGAACTACAGCAAAACAGTTTTTGACCTTTATTAAACTTGGTTTCCTTTCATTTCTGTCTCATGTGGGAGAAGCACATTCTATTGATGTTTGATGTTTTGTAAAGTGTTCATGATAAAGTATTTCTCTTTTTTTTCGAGTTACCATTTCACTTAAGGGTAACAACTTGATTAATGGCATTATGGAGCAGGTAGAGTGATGGAGCTGCTTTAGGGTTTTTTCTGCCTACTTTTTTTCAAGCCACAATGACGTAACCACATGAAAATTTAAATTAAAATGGTGTAAAAAGTGTAAAGTAGTGAGACACAGAAAGATTTTGTAGTATATTTTTGTTCTGTAAGATTAAGTCCTGTGAGGTGACTATTTCTGAAAAAGACAAAAAAACCCTCCAAAAAAAAAAAAAAAAAAAAAAAAAAAAAAAAAAAAAAAAAAAAAAAAAAAAAAAAAAGAAACCTATCCGGGTAATCAAACTAACTGGTATGAATTTATCACTTCGTATCACTCACTAGGTGTTGTGTGAAAGGCAAGAAGAACATTGCATAACGGACTGGATTTATTCTCTTGAAAAGGAAAGAGTAGTGCAAATGAAGGATGCCTCTTGTATTTGTTGCTTTACCTGTTTTTTTCCTGTCACTTGTTGACCCAGCTAATTCTAGTGGTAACATGAACGAAAGAAATTTTAGAAGTCTGTTTATAGAGATTGTTATGGAAGTACCTGAGTAGTATTTATTTTCCACAGAAGAATAAATGCAGAAATATTACATTGCCATTTTTAACTCTTTAATAGATCTCAAGGTGTTTTCTCAACTACTTTTTGCATAAGAATCAAAGTATTTTCTATAGTTGTATGATAGATACAGAATATCAGACAACTGTCTGATATTGTTTATATGTGTGTATGCGCACACACAGACATCATCTTGGTAGAGTAATAAATGCTACCTGATCTCTACTACATGAACTTCTGAATATGTTGAAGCTACACGACGAGCATACTGAAGAGATTATAGACAGTTTTAGTGTAACCTAAGAAAGGCCTCAAAGACACCTGCATGTCTGCCAGTATTGACTCTGGAGTGGAAGCCGTGCAGCAGCATGATGCTGAAGGAGAGCTGTAACGTGTCTGTGCAGCCACCAATCAGTGGTGAAACAAATGCATACATTTCATAGGCCATAAATGGAAGAAACTCCTCTGAAATTTCTTTTTATCCCCTAAAACTGTCAGAGGTCTGATCCAGTCTGTCAGTCCTGCCTGGATGTAGGTACCACAGCATAGTAAAACTTCAGCAGTCAGAGTGCTTGATACTGATGTCCTAAACTTGTAGCCATAATTCTGCTGTAAAGGCATCATCTTTCTCACAGTGTAGCTTGGGTGCTTTCTGAATATGTTTTAGACAGACAGACCTCATTAAAAAGCAGCAACTGAATGACTGAGAATATACAGGTGCTCTCTTCTTCAACTGTAAGTTAATGATTTTATGGGTAATAGACTTATGGTGTCAGGAGATCTTACCTCGTTCTTATTGTACTGTACAGACTTGTTTTCTTATGACTCAATAAAATCTTTTTCCAGAATAATTGCACAATTTTAAATACTATTTAATTTTAAATAGTTTTTCTGGTGATAACTTTACCTGTGCTATAATGTGCCGCATAATTTTCTTAAATGAATTATCTTAAATATATCTATACATGGTTTTATTTTTATTTTTTCAGGGCATGGCTTTTACCTTGGAGGAGAGGCAGCAGTTGAATATTCATGGATTATTGCCACCTTGCTTTCTTGGTCAAGATGCTCAGGTTTTTACAATTCTTAAGAATTTTGAAAGGCTGACATGTGACCTAGACAGGTAAAGTATGGCTATGGAAATTTATCCTAATTACCAAACCACAAGTCTTTTACATTTTTTAAAATGGTAGTACAGATGAAATTTTGTTTTGTTTTGTTTTTTAAGCTATGGTGGTTATTGGGAATTCATAAGGTAAATATATACTTTTGCTGAAACGCTTTCTTCGGAAAAGCAACTCCTGCTTTAAAATTGTAATATTCCAGAGCTGTTCACATGAACTTACTTTGATAACCAAATGATACAAGGGTCATCAGAAGCAAATGAACTCATGTGATACTATAAGCCAGTAATGTATTTACGTGCATATAGATACATATGCATTAAAACGTATAAAATTAATAAAATATTATACAATAATATGTCATATACTGTTGTTTTATTTGGGGTTTTTTAAAGAAAAAAGCTGGAGAGGGCTTTAAACGTTTACGAATACTAAAATGGATTTTTTTCCTAAAAAAAATAGTATTTTATAGGCCCTAGAACAAAAACCTGTTCATTCTTTTTCATCCTGTGCCTTTCTTTCCTCTGTTGTGAGTCGTCTTGTTATCTGTATGTAATGCATGGCTTTTAGTTACCCATCTGTTGGTGGCAAGGCTTTTTTATAATTTAAAGTTGTGCCAACCTTTGTTTTTTGTGGAGTCAGAATAAGATGAGCACAGTCTTCCAAGTAAATGAAGAGCTCATGATTGTGTTATCTTTTCTAGGTAAACTCTTTTCCAATGCTCTAATGAAGGGCATAATCAGTTGTCACAGATAGTAGCTTCCCAGGTTCAAATGTTTATTAGTCAGAGTCCCAGCGTATAGGAAAGTGTAAAATTTCATGGAGACCTGTGAGTCAACCATAGATGTTACCACAGGGGAAAACTTTGTCCTTTTCTCCCCATCTCCCTCTTCACTCTGCCTTGAAGTAGTCCCTTCACGATACATCTCATTGTTTCATATGTTTCATGACATGTAACTCTTTAAAGGAATTTCAACTGCTTCTTTATATTTGAATTGATGAAAATTCTCTTCACCTATAACTTAGGAAGAAAAAAGGTCTTTATCCCACTGCTGAATATGTTTTTTAGCTAGGAAAGAAATTTTACTCCTACTTCAGGTCATAGGAGAAAAGCACTTTTGTTTCTCAAAACATCACAGATAGAAAGTTACAAGTCTAGCTATGAAACAGTCAAAAGGAGCAGCAGTATTTCCAAATCCTAATTTATTTTTTTTTTTTTAGCAAAAATTGTGGATATTTAGATGGCTTTTTGCCAAAATGAAAAATTTCTTCAGGAAAGGGAAAAAATAAATAATCTATCAGTTTTAAATGACAGAATACTAAAACTTTGAGTGCTGTGCCATTTGAAGTGAAATAAAACATTGTATACTGAAGTTTAGATTGCAATGGGAATAATGCAATAAAAATAACTATCTCCAAGTTTTGTGAGCATACTTTGCAGAAAACTTGCTTTACCATTTTAAAAGAAAAAGAAGAAAAATCTGTTGTCTTAGGAGTGGAAAGAATATTTTTTAAAAATACAATTAATCCACATAGAATAGACATAAGTAATACCCAAGTATAAAGAAATATAATATGATTGCAAATAAAAGGGTTTTGAGAAGCCATTTGCTTCAGATAATATTTTTCCAAATCTGTCTCTGCTAAGATCTGTAAATACTTAACTAAACAGAAAAATGTGGTGTCTTTCTTTCCTACTTATGAGTCTTCTTCTGCATTTTCTCTTTTCCAAATAAATAGTTGGGTAAGGAAAAAATTTGTTTCCTGTTGCTGTGACCAGAAATCCCTAAAACAGAAGCACTAACATTGGATTATTACATCCGTGTGTCTTGAGTATTAGACAGTAGCTTGCCATTTTATACTATAAAGCCAGTTTTTATTATGATGCCTGTTTTAGTGTAAAGATTATATTGTACTGTACAGCTTAGCAGTACAAGTTTATTATGTTACTTTGTTTTTTAATGATGTATTTCAGCTGACAAAACTAGCAAGTCTTTGGTTCATAGAAATAGCTTGAAACTATTACAGGTTTGGCTTTTTTCTCACTTGTGTGTTAACTAGTCAAAATACTTCAATTAATATTTTAATAATTAGCATATTAAAAAAGTGAGAAACTATGTTTATTTCCCAGCCTTGTTATGTGACATGTGGCAGTGGTATTTTCTCAGCCATAATTTTTGGTACGGGTATTTGTATCTTCTCCTTCCCTTTAGAGTCAGAGTAAACAGTGAGGCCCCATTTTATAATGCTGGATGAGCTGTGGTAGGATCTTGATCCATGGGAGATATTCAAAACCTGATTGAACACGATGCTGTGCAAACTGCTTTAGCTGACTCTGTTTGGGCAGGGGATCAGCTGAGGGGATCTCCAGAGGTGCCTTCCAGCTTTAAGCTAGGGTATGCTTTCGTAGCACAAGTCCATAGTAGTTAAGAAATAAGCTTTCAGAGATAACCTTAAATCAATGCAAATTTGTGTAAATTAAATCAGATTGTCCCTTAAGCATGTAAATCCACAAGTATCCCCCAAATGAAATTGTTTCTGTAAGAAATTATGTTTATGTTCTGTGTGAACAGCCAGCAAATCTAAATTCACTGTTCATGCCAGGAGATGTTTTGATACAAATGTATTTTTCTCATATATTAGTGAGACTTTATACACCTGTGTTGTTTTCTCCAATTTTTAGCAAAATAAAAGAATTTGTGTTAAATGTGTAGGTCTGTATTTAAGAACACTGATGGAAAGACTTGGTAACATTTGCATGGGGAAGATTGAAGACTGTCACCAGAGACATCTTAGGCTCCTTTGCAAATAAAATGCTTGTGTGAATTGAGTGCTCAAAAAAGTTGCATGTGCAAAACGTGATTTGTAGCTGTGTTTGTAAGTTGGGTGTCTGACAATTTTATTTGGGTATGTCAGTAAAGACCTGCTCCGAGAACATGGGCATTACATGTGAGTGAGCTCAGTCCTTAAGGCAATACCTGAACTCTGGTCTCCTATATTTATACCTGTATCAAAGAATTTTAAAGAGAAGAGTGACTGGGATGCTGCCACAGTGACCCCTTGAATTGCTTCACTGATGGAGAATAACAGAAGACATTGACTGTTTTAGCTGAAACTTAAAAGGAAAGCTCAAGTGCTCCCTGTACAGTTGGGTACTCAAGGACAACCTTGTGTAAGAGCATGCAGTTATTGCCTTCTACTGAGTGTAATGTCCTAATTCTAGAAAAAAATATCCACATTTCTTGCAGTATGCATCTGGCATAGTCTCTACTCCCATAGAAACAGGGATTGAAAAGAGATAAAGGGAAGCTGTTGTTTTCCTTCCAGAGCTTGGGTTCAACAGTGGGAATACCTGTGTGTTTTGTGTCCAAATACAAAAGCTTAAGTGCAAGCATTTAAATATTGCAGAGATGGAAACTGTCAAGTACCTCAGACAGAAGAGTGCTGTCTGATGAAACATAAATGCTGTGTATGAGCATCTTACACTGGCAGGATTGTAGTTTTGATTTGAAAGAGGGTGTGTGTAAAGTCATAAAGCTAAGCTGACAAATCTTACCATGGCATGACATGTTTTGGCATGGCTGAAACTCCACTGCTGACTTGCAGCATGAAATTGCTGTACTCTGAAATACCAAGAGTTCATACACAAAATGAATGTGGAAAAGCAGCAAATATATTGCTTGGTATGTTTGGCAACATAAGTAAGGAAATAATGATGGAAATAATTCCATCCCTCTAATTTAATTTGGAAAAGCTGTGATAGATTCTCCAAATACATGAATCTTTTTCTGTGTTCATTGCATGTTTTTAATTGTCTTTCTTCTTCCTCTTTATGGACGCTGAAATTGTTGTCCCTGACACAGCCACATCTTCTGCCTGGGCTTTTGTTTCTTCAAGGAGTTACACTCCTGAAATGTGTGAACGTTAGGAGGGAGGCCATCAATTCACTTTTTCAGAGAATGACATGATATTTTGTTTTTTTTTTCTTAAAGTTCTCTGTCTTTAATGCATTTTTATATAGATGCTGATGATGCAAAGTAATGGAGCTAAGTATCTTACACAGGTTAAAAATAATAGCCTTTCCTCCTACCTTTCTTTAATTGCTCTCATGTTTTATAAGATAAGAGCAAAGAAATTTTGAGTTTAGGTTTCTTCCACCTTTCCATTTTGCCTTGTAAAATGCACACCTGTGATAGTTGGGCTAATTATCGTAAGAAATCATCAGTAATTTTGTGGTATATATATCAGTTTTGGGTTTGGATGATATCTCGCTATATCCTTTTGTTTTTTCTGTATTTTGCTCCCTTCACAATAGCAGCCTAGTATGAAAAGTTCTTAGGTGAAATAAAGGCAAGAAGGGGAAAAGTGATATACTGAAATTTGAATGCTTGGCAGTCTCCTCTGTCTGACTTGCCAGACCTTGGGTTTTGTCCTCTGAAACTCTTCCCTGAAATCTTCATTCAAGACTTCTTGTCTGAGGATAGATCATATTTTTCTCCCTTTTTATAGCACAAATGATTGTTCTCAGTGTTTTATTGCTTGTTTTCACTATGTTTTCAATTAAATGTGGTCTTCAGTAAAAGATTCCCTTAAATACTGAATTTTAAATATATTTTTTAAACCACAATGCTGAAAACCACTTCAGGCTTCTAGTTGTGTAGGGTACTTGGATATAGCTAAAAGATGCCTACTTGTTGTCTAATGTGTTATAAACATCACAACACTGAGGATGAAGCATTTTTGTGTTTCTTCTTATGAAGAATTTTTGAGAAAGATTATACCCCTGACAAAGCAAGTTACTAAGCTGAGAAAGAAGAGATATACCTGCCATTGAAAAGTATTTTTCACTTTATAATGATATTTCTTATACTGATTTGGATATGATCACGTATGTAATATATGAAAATATGTTTATAAATAGTATGTAGTCATTACTTTTTCAAGTTCTTTAGCATATCCTGAATATAAAAGTGGCACAATAAATACAAATAAAAAAATAAATCTGCTTAATGCTACAGACAGTAAAAACAAAATGGAGAGATTTAACAAACAGTTTTTTGATTTGAAGCCCTTGAGGAAGCCTTTTGCTAAATTTTTAATTTCTTTTGTAAAAGATTTCTTAACCCCATTTAAAATCCAGGCTTGATCCAAGTAATAAGAAAGGATAATTAAAAGGTATTTTAAAGTCTTAAGTAACCCTACCTCATTTTAAATGAAAGAGATAAAACTGGCAACTGCTTCAAAACTGTGCTGTGGCTTCCATGGTGCTTGCAGTCTCCAGTACAGAGTGGGCCAGAGTATGCATAATATTCTCTAACATCACTTTAAATGTTCTCTGGAGATGAAATGAATGTCTTCATGTGTATTCACAACTATATGTGCATGAAACTTATATTTCAAGCTAAGTCTTGGGATATTCATCCTCAGGAGAAAGGTTTTAATGAAGAAGAATTCAAGGACATTAGAAGATATGCTATGTCATAATGAAATACTGGAAAAATGAAAGGGAAATGTAGGGAAATGTATTAATATGAAAAAAAATTAGTATGTATGTATATTTGTAGTTGAGAACTATAAGAGCAGGATATAATTTAACCTTGGAAAACATTCAAAACTAATGGTAGGCATTGCCTTGTGGTGATGGTATTAGAGTACTTCTGCAACTTTTTGGTTTCTAGATCTTTATCTCTTTAGGGTATAAAATACCCCTTGTGACACAAGGGGAGGGACACTGTTTTGCTTCACTTCTGTCACCTCATTACAGTCATCACCTGCCAAACTGGCTGCACTAACCTTGCTTATAGTGCTCATTAAAGTTTTATAATGCAGATTGCAGAAAAAGTTCTTCCCTGATATACAGGGATATACAAGCTAAGCTTGAATGAAACACATTCAGATTTACTAAGCTGTTCTTTTTTTAGATAGTTACCTGACTGTGTCTTCCTAAAGAATGAATTTCATTTTATTGGGGCGTGTGATGCATGAGAATGCAGAAGGAAAGTTCATGTGAATAATACTTAAGCACACAAACCTCCATGCTTTTGGAATTAATGTGTTATATGTGTTTCCTCAACACTTGTGTAATAAAATGATTGGCATATTAAGCTTTTTGAGCAAGTGAATAGTAATCCATTGCAAATTAAAAAAACAAACAAACAAACAAAAAAAACAAAAAAAAAAAAAAAAAAAAAAAAAAAAAAAAAAAAAAAAAAAAAAAAAAAAAAAAAAAAAAAAAAAAAAAAAAAAAAAAAAAAAAAAAAAAAAAAAAAAAAAAAAAACAAAAAAAAAAAAAAAAAAAAAAAAACAAAAAACAAAAACACAAACCCTTGCATAAATTGTGTAAATAAGTTAAAGATTTTATGTAAGCCTATTAGTATAGAAGACTACTTAATTTTTAAAGTAATACTTAACATTACTAAAACTAGTCAATAGAGAGGTGAGCTGTAGGATCACCAAATTCCTAAGTTTTAAGTATTCACAAGGTGGCCAGAGTCATACCTATGTGAACGGGTATAACTTGAAGTCACTCTCTGACTCTTATCATCTATCATACTCAGCACTGAAATTTGGCTTCCTGGTTGGGATCTTGAAGCAGTAATGTAATTATTCAATGTTAGTGTGATGGTAGTCAAAAGTAGATCAAGCTAAATGTGAACTTTTTTTTTTTTCACTCTCATTTCTCTGATTTTTTTTTTTTGTCATTCGTTTTCTTTTTAATAAACAGAACTCCTTCAAAATTAATTTTCCTTGGGAGATAAAAGATTGCAGATTTCATGACAAACATAAGAGTTGAGGGATGAAAGGCTATACTTGTGTGCTTTGGTTTTGAAAGCTTTATTCTTCAGTATTTATGTTAAGTATTATTCAGGATTTAAGATAAATTTCTACTGAGGCAAGAGCTTGCAAAGCTTAACATTTTTAGTTTTGTTTTCTTTGGGCAAGTGAGTAAGCTTGTTTAAGTTATATTTAATGATGGTCTCATTTCAAGTGGAACAACTGATACATACAGAAAAGGTTCTGACAGACCAAATCCTCAGTGCAGGTCAATGTTTTATACCTGAGAGGGATTAGCTTCTTGAGTATGTACTTTGTCAACTTCTTGATGGTTTCAGCTTCTCTGTCTCAACCAGTTTATTTGTTTCTTTTAAAACAAGGAGGAATTAAAATACTTTTAACAAGAAAGAGGCTATTATCGAACAAACAACTTTAATTATCTAAACACCTCTGTATTTCTAAATCTACTGTATGTATTCCCTTGATGTCTGTCTAATTATATGTAATTCTCCACAGATACATTCTACTAATGAGTCTTCAGGATCGAAATGAAAAGCTTTTCTATAAAGTGCTGGCTTCTGACATTGAAAGGTTCATGCCTATTGTTTATACTCCCACTGTGGGACTGGCTTGCCAACAATATGGGTTAGCATTCCGGAGGCCAAGGTATGTAAGTTTATACTTCAAATACAAACAATTGTATTTTATTTTCATCTTGGCAGATTTCTGCAGGGGTTTTCGAGTATAGCTGAATGTAATCCAAAACTGCAATAAAGATAATTCAAGCTACACTTTTTGTCTGCATTAAACAATAATTTGTATTGCATTAAGAAGGCGAATGGTTGGTTTAATTGCATTAAAACTTGAGTATATTTTTAACCTTATTAACTGTTTTAGAATCTTAGTTGCATGTTACAAGACTGGAGAAGGATGGAACCTTAGTCTTGGATATGTCTTAGCAACTTCAAGAGCATAGACTTGCCTATATAAATATTTACATTAGAAGTATTTATATATATATATATATATACACACACACTAAGGATGCATTACATATGTGCCTACTGACATCTTAAAAATAATCAATAATCATCAAAGTGCTTGTCTCACTGCTTAATAATTTGTTGCTTCATAGGTTGGTTGCTGGAGTGCTTTTATTCAGTATACAGTACTTGTATTTATAGAGTGATGGGGAAGTGGTATGAAAGAAGGATGGATCCTTCTGTTTCACTCCGCCTCGTGAACATCAGCTCACAGAGTTTGAGATTTATAGTGGCTGCTGTTTGAGAACCTTGTGTATATTACTGCCTTCAAGTGCAAGCTGGAACAACACTTCGGAGCCTTCTGTAGAAGGAAGAGATAAATGAGCTGCATGTGCATAGCTCTGTTAACAGAAATAGATTTTGTACAGTCAAGGCATTGATCAAAAATAAGAAGCTTGCAAGATTTAAGGGAACAAATGACTGCTCACAAATTCTTCAGCAGGCGGTATTTGAGGGAGACTTATGGCTTCAAGGTTTTGTTGTTAATGTGAAAATCATTTTGGCCTCATGACTAACAAAATGAGTCAGGACCATCTGGCCAACTGCAGAAAACAAGAATTCCCACTCCTCTGTGCATTAAAAATTTCAAAAATACCTCAAGAATGCTAACTTAAACCTGTTTAATGATCTGTGGCTTTTAGGTGTCTACCTTAGTGAGAGAAGTCATCTCCTTTTTTCCCCTCAGTATTTAACACCATGGTAATTTTATTGGCCTTCCAGGAAGTGCTAAATGTGTCTGGAAATTAAGTCTTTGCTTACACTGGCCTCATTGCCCCTTGTTTTGATATCCACTACCATATAAAATATTTCACAAGGACCACCTCCCTGGGTAGCTCATTCCAATGCTTGTTAACCTCTTCAATGAAAAAATTCTTCCTGCTGTCCAACCTGAACCTCCCTTGGCACAGCTTGATACCATTTTCTCAAGTCCTGTCGCTGGTTGCCTGGGAGAAGAGACTGACCCCCACCTTGCTATAACCTCCTTTCAGGTAATTCTAGAGATCAATAAGAAATCCCCTGAACTTCCTCTTGTCCAGATGAAACAACCCCATCTCCTTCAGCTGCTCCTAAAATGACCAACTTTCCAGACCCTTTACCAGCTTTCTTGCTCTTCTCTGGATATGCTCCAGCACCCCAATGTCTCTTTTGCAGTGGGGTTGGAACTGGAAGATCTTTAAGGTACCTTCCAATCCAAACAATTTTATGATTCTCTGATCTTTGACAAACTGTCCTGATTAAGGAAAATACCTATTCTTAGCAGTCTTTCACTGTGCTCTATTACAGAGATCTGTTTTTTCCTAAGAAAAATCTTTTCTAAACTATTCCAAAACCAACTATACGAAGCAACCAATCTAATTGATTTTGGAATTGCATTCTAGACCGTGACTCATTTAGCCATATAAACCTTATAAACCAGCATCTCTCATAAACAGCATCCTCCATGAGATGGACATAGAAGAAAAAATAAACATTAAATTTAACATTCAGAAGGAGAGAAGCAGTAAAATATGTAAAATTTACTCCAGTCAATATAGTCTTACAATTTTGATTGATTTTTTTTTCCCCAGATGTTGCAATTAAGGAAAAATTGATCATACATATCATACATTAAAAAAAAAGGTATTCTTATCTTATAAGAACTATGTATCTGTTTTATGCTGACTTGTATGTAAATACTGTCTTTACTGATAAGTGACTGTTTTTCTTTCAGAATATTTTTTATTTCAGAGTATTTTTATTACTGTCTCTTCCCATAGCTCAGAAAATGTTTGATATATCATAGTTTAATGAAGATCCCATTAGAAACAGACTTGTTTATTTAGTTAAATAAGTTAAAAATTACCCAGTTGCTGCAGATCATATTTATCACACTGGAATTTGCAAGGCAGTGTCTTATTATTCAGTTTACCTCTGTAAGGTTTTTTTTTCAATATTCAGTTACATATTTTTACATTGTGAAGTTTGAAACCCCTGGCTCACAAGTTGTATCTTGAGGCAAGGAACAACGAAAATTAATTTAAAGTTTAAAAAATAGGTGTCTCATGGAATCATTAAATGAGATCATCTTCTGTGACTGCCTTATGTGTTTTTAGAAGACTGTATGGGCTCACATGATGTGCTTACAGTTATAGAAAGACTGTGGCTCAGGCGAGAGGTTTTCATCCTGAAGTAATATTTTGCAGTTATAGAAAAAACATTCATGGCTGAGCAGCTGACCATCTGATTAAGCATTATTTCTCAAGAGAACCAGCTGCAAAGTAACTTGACTCAATGGTTTGAAGCTCGTATGTATTTTATTTGTAAAAATCAGACTCAACTCAAGATTGCATTACTCACTCTGAGTGTTCAGCTGTAAATCCACCAGTTTAATGAATAAGTGTTATTATAGAAATAAACACTAGAGATCTGATAGCAGATCTCTAACATGCACCTGCCTACACCACACAGTTACATAAAAATAATTTAGAAGTCCAGTCTCTCTGGTCTTCGTCCTAACTGTTGAGGAGGATGAGGGAAGAAAGGGGGTTCTCTGGGAAAGTTGTTAGGAGAAGGAATTTAGGCCTGTACAGATAAAAACTTTGCTAATGCTGGGAATATAATGAGACTGTGGGTTAATTGCAGTGCTTACATTATCATTTTAAGAGCATTATCTCAGAATCTCTGCTAGGTCACTTTTAGGGGCAGAGTGTCTATCATTTAAATTTCTAAAGTAAAAAATTCTTCAATTGCACAAAGCGTGTACATATATATATGACAGCTTTTGCTGACTTACCAAGAAGCAATCTATTTCTGTAAATGGATTTCTGAAATATAACAGTTCTTTCATCCAACAAGAATAAATATGGGAAAGTTTAATGGAAATTTCCTCTTAGAATCCAAAATCAACTTTTTACATTGTATAGAGAACACCCAGGAGTTTAAGGTTCTTATGTAAACTCAACATTCAAAGAAGGGAGGAAAAATTGCCAAGTACTGCTGCGCTGAAGACTTTGGATGCTGTTAAAATGTTAGGTGACTGTTTATGCATTGCCATTCCTAGAAGGAAAAGCCATTTCAAACAGAATATGAACAGAGTCAGCCCTGGTAACTATTGCAGCCACACAGGCATGGCACAGTTACTTTGAAATAACTTCCCAATGCAGTCACACACTGTCAAGCTGACCAGGAACCATTTTTAAAGCAGCTATATTGGATCTGATGCAGCATATTGAAGATACAGATGCAGTCTCTTAAAAGGCAGAGTATGTTAGGCTTAGCTTTGAAGTTATTTAGCAGATTGCCTCCTCATCAAAGTGTTTGACTGTCTCAACACATACCAGTTTGAGACTTAATCCTTTCTTTGTATTTATCAAAGAGAATGTATTTATTTGCATTTATTGAATGTATTTACATTTCCAATTATTCAGATGCACTGTATTGAATACAAATGTTGCAAATGTGAATTCTTTCTTTGTTGACATAGTAATGTTTACATACTGAGATTGTCAGCTGCAAGATAGCATCACTTTTTAATAAAGAAAATAACTTAGAGAACAGGGAAGCATTTATTTCCTGTCACAGAACATGCAGAATGTTAGACCTTGGCATCAGAAGTTGCAGTCTGTTGGCCAGCACAAGGCTGATTTTTTGTGATTTTTAATGAGGCTTTTATTGGAGCTATTTTCCTTAATTCCATTGGATGTCTGTGGCATCCAAGTCTCTTAAGAAACCAGATTCAGTTTACTGGAGGCCAGAAACTTGTCAAGCACTCCTGGATCCCATGAGCCAAAAAAGTTGAGTTTCTGGAGCTTTTTTGTGACTCTCTCCCCCTCAGATAAGTGATGTTTTCTTGACTGAGACTAGAATGTCTGGATTTATTTGACCTAATTTTTTAACCAGTATAACGACCCCCTTCCTTAGATTTTCTTCAGCACATCTAGATTTTTTTTTTTATTTTTGTTTGTTTGTTTGTTTTTGGTTTTTTTTTCCTGGAAAGCTGTAGGGGTGTGTGTATATATATATATATATATATATATATATATATATATATATATATGTTTTGGGACTTTATTAGCCTGTTGCTAGAGATAATTATCTTAATATATTAATTTAGTTGAAAGTGATTATTGTGTAGCATAAAAATGATATTAAGAGGATAACAAAGCACTAATTTCAGAGCAGTTTTTCCTGGGTATTTTCTTCTCCAAAAGCTATGCAGAATTTTCACCTGGAAGTGAAAAAAAGGAAACATGGAGGTTTTTTAACCAATCACTTGTAAGGGCTTGATTATTAGGACAGTCTGTGACATCAAAAGCTTTTGTAATAAAGACATAAAATACAGGAAAATGCATCTTTGAAAGTAACCAGTTGGAATACTGATGTGTAATGTGTGTATTAAGGGCATGGTTCAGGTGACAAGTTATTCTACAACATTTTGACAGAGAATTAGCATAGCTGTAGCATTTCATCTAATTTTAGACAATCCTTCTCTTACGGACTTCAAAAGCCTGACAATGATGGCAGCTGCAACCCCTACCCAAGCACTTTTGAAACTTTTGGCCATTTTCACTTTTCGTGAAGATTACAGCTGCTGACATCTTCCAGGCAACTTTTTGTTTTCTTCTTCTTCTTTTTTTTTAATAG